TTTTTGTCTTTTTACAGCAAATGGATCATTTTGGAAATATGGTTGAGTGTAAAAGTCAAAATGGAAATAGGTCAGTTTGACTGGGTCGTTTTTAAAAGAACCCCCACGTCTACATGCACACACAGAAGCAGAGAACGAGAGGCAGAAACTGAAAAGAAAAGAAAGAAGGAGAAGAGAAAAGGAGAAAGAAAAGAAGAAGAAGAAAAAGGAATAAGTGTTGATTTCCTCAATGTTGGGTTCAATTTATCTATTTTTTTTTCAAGAGAAAAAGGAATAATTTATGTTGAATTTATAGGGTTTTAATTTGTTGGTTTAATTTTCAGATTAACTTGCAAGAGTATCATTGTTAGTTCAAGTTTCTTGATTGATTACCTTCCATTTACATTAAGGTAAGCTATACCATTTTTGGCAAATCCTAGAATTTTAATTGGGTTCTTTGGTATAGATTGTTGGAGAAATAATTATGTTGATAGAATACTCATTTGGAAGAATGATTTATAAGTTAGAATGTAAAGTTAAATTGGTTGAATTATGGTTACTAGCTTTCACTAGATTTGAAGAAGGAATTGCTTTTATGTTTGAGATTAAGGTAATTGGGATAAATTAAAGATAAGTGAAATGACTAGAAAGTAGAATTAGCTTCAAGTGATTAAAGGGAATTTGGGAAAATTACGCCAGTACAGAGAAATTTAGGGCCTGTTTGATGGCCTTGATTTTCCATGGAAAATGGAAAATATTCCCTCCCCATGGAAAAATTTTTCCCTCCCAACCCCCACGCACCATATTTCCTTGTTTTGGAGGAAAAATTTTTCCTACCATTTTGGTGGGAAAAAATTTTCCATNAGTTTTAGTATTCGATTATTAATATTCTGAGCTACTTAGTATCATAAGGATTAAATTAATTATTTGGTATCGCATTTCAGGTGGTGATGAAGAGATTGGAATAGCTTATTAGCCAAACAAATCGCCATGTAAATAGCTAGTGAGTGGAAAAACTTATATATTTTCAAATATGGATAACGCACTTGCATTATTATATTACGTGTGATTATGTGAAGTATTTGTTCAATTACATGATTAAGATGGGAAATGTTCCTTCACTATGATGCATGTCGAATTCAAAGATTGCATATGTATTATTGGTGAATTGGAATGTGAGACGTGATATTGAGATCGACCAGAAAAGTACCTTGATTATATAAATCTTTCGTTCACGGAGGGGCCTTTGGCGAAAGTATTTAGCCCAAGGGGAAGATTACAGATTTTTGATACGACTTTCGTTCACGGAGGTACCAAAGGCCAGTGGCGAAAGTATTTAGCTCGAGGGGCGTATTATAGATTTTTGAGACAGCTTTCATTCGCGGAGGGGTAAATGCCCGGGGCAAAAGTATTTAACTCGAGGGGCGGATTACAGATTTTTGAGACAACTTTCGTTCACGGAAGGGGGGAAGGCCCGTGGCGAATATATTAGCCTGATGGGCGGATTACAGATTTTTGAGACAGCTTTCGTTCACGGAGGGGCCAAAGGTCCGTGGCGAAAGCGTTTAGCCTGAGGGGCAGATTATAGATTTTTTAGACAGCTTTCGTGCACAGAGAGGCCAAAGGCCCGTGGCGAAAGTGTTTAGCCCAAGGGACGGATTATAGATTTCAGTCAGAGGGTACATTTCTGGTTGCTTGTGATGTGATGAGATGATGATGTGGNAAATGATTTCAGTTGGATTTTCGATAAAAAGGTATAAATGAGAAATACGTTGATTTTCAAACTTTTTCACTCACTGAGCTATCAACTCATATATCTTCCACGATTTTTCTTATCAGATAGCTGTTGAGTTTCTCAACAACTTTTGGTCTTGAGCCTTGATTTTGGAGTCGGAACCACCGGCAAAGTTAACTAGCATGACTTATTTCATAGATCATGTAGTCAGTATATTGATGTTCATTTTTGGACGTCATTTCGCATCACTTGTATATAATTAAATGGGCTTACTATGTATTTTACATCTATATGTACAGTTTATGTTATTTTCATAGTAAAAGTTTGAGAATTCGGCTTATCTCTATATTGTGTTGTACTTTTGTGGTTATTAAAGAGGAATCCTGAATTAGCACTGGTATTGTATTCTTGTTGGGAGTTGTATATATTAGTGGTTACAGGTTGGCTAGTCTAAATTACAGGGGAGATAATGTCGAAATTTTATTAAAAATAATTTAGAAAAGTTGCATACTGTAGTAGCCTTAATGGTGGGTCCAACTTTTAATTGGTATCTATCATCGGCGCACTTCACACTCCGGGTCCACTAGCTTTATTAGGAGTGGGGGTGTGTCAATATATGGATTACAATTACTGCAATTGCACTCACTTATATTTTGTCATTAACGGCAGCAATAGCAACGGGAAATCCTGGACTAGAGCGTAAATCACTTATTTCTTGTAGAGCCATTATCTAGGCTGGTCTCGTGGCTGTCCTCCTTCTTGGAGACACGATTCGGTTGATAATTAAAGATTATAAAAATGTTAATAAAATCATTGAGGCTGAAACAAAGGTTTCCTGGTTCAGGAGTTATGAGTCATGGCAGAGTCTGAAGTGTTCTTAATAAGTATTTTCATTTTGATTTCTAATAATAAAGCCAATTCAATGATCATGGCTGAATGAGATATCGCAGTTTAGCCCAACAAAACAGACTACTCATTCTGACATTAGAATATCCATAAAAATGAAGTGGACATTCTGGTCCAATTTTCATTTGGCATGTACAACTCAATATGTTTTAACATAAATAGAATTTCACACACTGCATATAAGTCCCATGATATCTCTAAAGAAACCAAAATTCATGTGAAATTCACTCAAACACCTTCTTGGTTAACATTTCGGTTTTGTACTTCAACCAAATCTCTAAATCTTCTTGGCCTCCACACGGTTATTCCTCGTTTCTGCAGCCACCGGTCGACCAACCTAACAGTGTTCCCAACAAGCAGAATTGCCATCACGCTACACCATACTATGAGTCCGATCTCAATAACATTGCCCAGTGATTTCCTATTCTTTTCTGGTGTAACCACAACAATGGATACTGCATAAGTAACTGCAGTTGAAGTTACTGTTAACCACATAATAACCATCAAACTCCACATAAACAGCCTGCGCCGAAAAGGCAAGCCACTTATTAAGAGCAGGATTGTACTAAGAGATGAAACGAAGGCTATTGTATTTGTACGAATGAAACTCTCATACGCTTTAGGATGAATACTCGCCATTACAGCTTCTCCAGCTTTGTGGGAATCATCTGTTGCATTGTCTTGCCAGACGCCACCCGGAGGGGTCACCCCGGCTTGGAAAGCCATTGTAGCAATCAGAATTGCCACCACCATTATGGCATCGCGCTTCTTGGTTAACCATTTTATTGGCTGAGTTTGAGGATTGATGGAGTTGCAGGCTTTAGGCTGAAGACAGTTCTTAATGGACAAATAATTATTAGCATCCCTCAAATATGTAGGAGTTAGTTCCAAAATGTCCAATGCAGTGTGGCCATTTGCATTTTTTGCATTCACATCTATGCCAGTACTTCCCATTAAATACTGGACTGTCTGCATACATAAAAATGCTTATGTATATTTGCATATAAGCCTAGGGTAAAAGTTACAGGAGATAAGTCAATTAATTGATAACTACTCCTCATATTATTATACAAGGGTAAAAATTGCAGCTGAGGTCTCCAACCTATGACCTGTGTAACAAGTTGGTCCATAATGTTTCAGTTACATTTAGATCCTCAACTCCTTTTTTTCGCACTAGTAGTCACGGAGGATGGTTTTTATCCAATTATTAGTTAAAATGTCATATTTTGGTTGAAAATACAATTATACTCTTACTTTAATTAGAACAAAAAGTAAAATAAATAAGTAAAGAAGGAAACGGAACGAAACAAAGTAGAAGATTAAAAAAGGCAAAAAACCAGAGGGGTCGAAAGTCAAGGGTGGGCTGGTGAGGGATTATGGTAGGGAATGCAAATATTTTCTTTCTTTTTCCCTTCGCCTTCTCTTTTTATTTCTTATGAAAATTGTTTGCATTTACCTATTGTATGGTCGCAACAATACTCCACATTACTTGGACGTGCCAACTATACGGCAAATTGGACTGGTAAAAGTGCAACAGAAGTGGTGAAGTTTTGAAGATCTCATGTAAAATCTTAGGACAAAGTTACTGCAGACACCATAGATTAGGGACCTATATTGCAATTTTTCCAATATAATGAATGTCAGTTCCTAAAATTTTACACAAGACTCTGTCTTACCTCAAAATGTATAGTCCTAACAGCCAGATGCAATATTGTATCCCCATCTTCATCCTTTGCATTGACAAACTCATAATCATTTATAACCCGCAATATGATCTCCATAACCTGCAACTGCTTGTGTTTCACACACAAATGCAGAACGGTCTGTCCCCGGTCCGCCTTCTCCCGGACGGCAAGTGAACTCGTCTTGATCAACTCATTGAAGACCATGACTTGACCATTAATGGCCGCAAGATGCAGTGGATTTCTGCCATGGCAATCACGGGCTAAGCACATATCAGGTGCAGCAGATACTATTACTTTTACAATTTCGGCATAGCCTTTTGCTGATGCTATGTGAAGAGCCGATGATTGATGGGAGTCTAGTTCTGCAGCAAGTAGAGGATTCCTTTGGACAATTTCTTGGACAAAGGCCGTGCGTTGGCATATTGTTGCTATGTGCAAAGGAGTCTTGTTGGAACACGTAAACGAAACTCTATCAAGAATCAATGGATCTTCTTTGAGTAAATCGAGCAAAGATTTTACGTCTCCTTCCACTGCTGCATCGTAGAGCCTCTTTTCAGCCATTTCTTTCTCAATAAAACACACACAAACACGCACTAAAAGTACACATACACACAGCTTCTTGCCTGAGGTCAACTCTTATTTATGTGAGTCTATTGAATTTTTATTTTCTACATAAAATAGAAATTTCTTGGCTATAACCTTGGGCGAGAGGGAACCTTCCTTGTATACGGATTCACATGTTTGCTCGATTTACTTGTTCTAGCTAGTACTTGCAGGTATGAATAATTTGACTGGGTAAACCAAATTTATGATTGTTCAACAATTAAATTATTCAAATTTTATCGAAAAAGAGTTGACTTTGCTGACGACTTGGAAGTTGTGATGAAATGAGGAGGAAAAATCTGGGGAAAGGGATCAAATTAGTGGCTCAAATTGTTTAGCCCCTTTTTGATAGAAATTAAAATTAAGATTTTTAATTCAAGTTGTAAATACTAAAATCTAGTTAATCTAACAATTTGTCTCAATTATTTGTTTAAAACAAATTTCGGCATTTAGTTGTGTTAGAATTTGGGTGTGACCCGAATTCCTTGTTGAAATAATTGAAAATTTTTAATTGAAGTGCACATCAAGAAGAATTCAGTTTGGAATGCTATTAGAATACTATGTCAAGTTGAAATTTTATTTTGAAAACCCATTAAGAGTTGGAATTTGTTTTGGACTTGTTGTTTTAGTATTCTACTTCATCAACAACTCTATTAAGATGGTTTTGACACCCCCTACGTGTTCTCTATAAATACTAGGCTTTTCTATACAATTTTAGGGTGTGTTTGAGCCACATTATTTTGGAAGAATGTATTCTGGAATAGTAGACTGATGGGGAATGTGTAGTTGAAAAAGAAGAAAAAATTATTGATATGATGAAAAATATTATTTTATTGAAGAACGTGTGGTTGAAAATGAGTAAAATAATGAGAATGAGAATTTTAATGTGTACCAAACAATGGCTTAATAGAGTGTGAGAAAATAGATTACTAGAATTATAGGATATATTGTAATTTTTCTCTCTTATCCATTATTCTTGAGTCAATAAAATCTCTTAATTCCTCTGTCATATGCTTGTCTTTATTATTCTTTTACTTGATCATATAGATCATTATTATTTGCCATATAAGTTCAACATCTCAATCTAGTAGTTTGTTTTACAACAATTGGTATTAAAGCTATTCTGGTACTTTATTTGTTTTACAACAATTGGTATCAGAGCATTAGATTCAGCAGTTCCGCAAAAGCGCAAGGTTTGATTTGTTCAATGTTTTTATTTGTAATGGCTTCCATGAAGTATGACATTCATCTTTTGGATCGAAATACTAGATTTTCACTATGACAGGTTAAGATGCGTGCAATACTCGTACAGCTGGATTTGGATGATGCGTTGCTGGGAATTGACAGGATGCTCGTAACTTTGACCACCGAGGAGAAATTACGGAAGGATAAGATGACAGTTTCTCACATTCATCTTCATCTATCAAATACTATTCTTTAGGACATTTTGAAGAAGAATTCGGCAGCTGCTTTATGGATGAGGTTGAGGCAATTGTGCATGACCAAAAGTCTGACAAGCAAGTTGAATCTCTAGCAGTGTTTATACTCTTATCGAATGTCAGAAGGAGGATTATTGGAAGATCACCTGACTGTATTTAAGGAGATCATCCCTGATTTGGAAACTTTAGAAGTAGAGTATGATGAAGAAGACTTGTTCTTGATCCTATTGTGTTAGTTGCCCACTTCGTTTTCTTTATTTAGAGACACGATCTTGTATAGTCGTGATACTCTCACCATAGAGGAAGTGTATGATGATTTGTATTCAAAAGAGAAGATGAAGCATTTGGTTTTTGAGGCCAGAGATGGAGATGGCCTGGTTGCTCATGGTGGTTCTGGAAGGGGAAGATTGAAATCTAAGTTCAGTAATCAAATTTGTAACTACTACAAGAAGAAGGGGCATTTGAAGAATGATTGCTACAAATTGCAGAATAAATAAAGGATAGTTGCAAGTAGATATTCAGATACTACAGGCGATTCAGATCTCGCTCAGAACTTTGTAAGTAATGGAGATCTCTTAACTATTTATGACATTGAGTCTAAACCGGAAGATGATTGGATTCATGATTCAGCATGAGTGTTTCATGTGTCCTTATAAGGACTTGTTTACTGCATATGAAACTGTTTCCAAAGGTGTCGTGGTTATGAGAAACAACGCATCTTTTCGGGTTGATGGAATTGGTTCAGTCAAATTGAAGCTTTTGGATGAGAGAATTAGAACACTTGGACAGGTTCGACATGTTCCAGATTTGAAGAAGAATCTCATCTCGTTGTCTATCTTTGATTCAAATGGTTATAAGTTCTTTCGTGGAGGTGGAGTTTTAAAGGTTTGTAAGGATGTCCAAGTTGTATTGGAGGGACAAAAAATGTCTCAGTTATACATCTTACAAGGTCGTGCAAAATTTAGAAGAGTCAATCAACACAAGTTCAATACTGTGGTGTACATTCGTGTGAAACAATACCTTTAGGAGCTCATAAAAAGTAAGATTTGAAGAATACAGTTCACTGGAGTTCAGGAGACATGGATAATGTCGATTTGCCACCATCATTTGCGGTGTCATTGTATTCAGTTGCTAGAGACGGACCCAGTGGAAAAAGCTATGTGGATGCTGATTTTGTTAAGCATGCTTTAAATGGAATAGAATGTGTACAATCTAGCAAGGGGCTTTCTTTAAAAGCATTTGGATTTGATTTTGCTTTGGGGTGTGTTATAGCCCATTTTGGTAAATTATAAAATCATTATGATTTTTTGGGATCTGAGATAATTCTGCAGAGTAGTGTTTAAATTCATTGGAAGAGGTAGACTATTGTGTTTTGTTGGAAAAATTAATTTTTTTGATTATCGTTGAAGAAACAAGTTCATTCATTGGTGGAATTTGTGTCAAGGTAGAGATTATTAGAATTTGGGTGTGACTCGAATTCTTTGTTGAAGTAATTAAAGAATTCTAATTGAAGTGCACGTCAAGAAGAATTCAATTTGGAATGCTATTGGAGTCCTATGTCAAGTGGAAGTTCTATTTTGGAAGCCCATTGGGAGTTGTAATTTGTATTAGAGTTAAGTAGGTTGAA